ACCGGACAGAATAAATCCAGTTCATAGATCCCACTCTTCATTCAAAGAGAAGCTAAACCACATTGAGGAAATGCATCCCCCCAAAACCCTTTCCTTCTGTTTACCAGAGCAAATAGCGTCCACCCCACAAACCTGCAAACCAACCAGGTTAACAAATCGCCTAGGGTTGCCTTTAGGCAAAAATGGAGATGATGAAGCAGACTAAGACCAAAAAAGCAGAAATATATCCTTTGGTAACACACAAATGGTCGCTACACCGGACCCACTGCAAAAACCCTAAATATAATTAAGTAATTTCTTCAAGTGATTTTTTTTTGGGCAGTTAAATATTACAATTTTTAAATGGAATAAGATAATTTATGTTTAAAACAAGCAAACTACATTCATTGTCTTATTTTAGGTTTTATTATTTTAAAGGCAAAAATACATATTCCATTGACAGATCAGTGGATTAACCTGCTCAAATGAAGTGCAAACATACTTATTTTAATAATAATTTTTTAAATCAGTTTGTGCAGGGCCCAGCCACCGCATTCCACTAAACATGTGTGAGTTAGATGCAGACTGCAACACTAGAAGTCTGGAACCTAAATTCTGAGCACCCAGGGCAATGCCTTTATTATGCCTTTCCTGCCACAGCAATGATCCCCTAAGAATTGAATAATTAAATTATATTACTAATACAATTTATTATAAAACATTTTATAAAGTAATTAGAGGGAAACAAATATGTAACTAAAATGATTTAGAAAGCACAGTTAGTGGTGACTCTAAAAAAAAAAAATATTTTTAACTTTGATTAAAAGCAACTCAGGTTTTCGGTACCTTCACAGTTTTACCTACAGTACAGATTAGTAGAGCACTAAACTAAAAGGAGCTTCTTTATTTGATGGTTTGGTTCTGGGTGTGTGGAGTCGACTTGAGCCATAAGACCTGAAACATTTTTATGAATTTTTATGAATACAAATTTATTCGAAGCATGACCTGTATTTTAATATCCTTTGGAACAGAAATATACTATCAAAAAATTTTGCTCCTTTGACCTGCCAGTGCTGAGTAGTAGTAGTAGTAGCGATGTTGTGCCTATCTTCCTCTGCTGTCATCATCACTGTTCATAGCAGCAAGAATTAAATGGACTCCACAGGCAAGCCAGCGTGGTGCAGAGTGGTACCGAATCAAACATTCTTTCAAGAGTGGGAACATTATTCTTCAGGTGTTAAATCTGAGGAATGGAATCATTTCTTGGTTCAGGCTTTTTTCCTGACATCAGGAGCTCTGAGACATTACCTTGACAGTTTGTTTGTAAATCCTGTCGGCAAACTAAATAAGAGATTACCTTGGGAGGACTGAAGTAGTCTTTGTTTAGAGGACACACATAGATGATGCATTGCTTATGTGAAATGATTAGGGCCAAAGAAGCGGAACATAGTGGCAAGTAGAGGCAATCTCTCAGGGTCAACCAGGTGGAAAGCGAATTAAAATGGGCCTATGGAACATAGAGGTTAGAAAGCATGGCAAACCCAGGGAAAGGGGTCTTTTCACTTTTCACATCAGCCTAAAATGCACTCTGTATTCAGAATAGACGCAGTGGAGAACACATTTGGACACACTTGATAGCCTCTTGTGAACCTAACAAACGGGTTCAGTACTAAGGAGAATTCATGCTGTAAGGGAAAATGCAATAATATGTTAAAGAACAAAATGATTTGTTTTTGTCTCTTAATATTGTCAGTACAAAAACAACAGCTGGTATTGCTAATTTTATTTTAGCAGGATGGAAATGCAAAATCTGACTTCTATTAAATACCGGCTGTTTCCTCTACAATATATAAAATTATTTAAAAAATAAGAATCATAATATAATGAAAAAAAATCTTTACATCTTGAGTTTTTTTTTAATAAAAACTGTCAAGTTCTATAGTTGTCAGGTGGAATTAAAATGGCGAGATCTTTTGAAAGTTTTAACCATTAAAAGTCTGAAAATTGTACATGTATTAGTTTCATTGTAAATGCAACTGTTCTGTAAAGGCTGCAGAGGTCTGTTAGATGACATTAATGGACAAACAGCATCACCAGGGCTAATCGTTACCCACATGAAGCATTGGTGTTGAGGTATACAGTACGTACAAATGGTTTCTTTCTCAGGGACAGGGAAAGATGTAGACATTGGTTGAAGTCAAAAGCAAAACAATCATACAAGAAGTCCTGTTAGAGGCTGGAAAAGGCTTTGTGAAGGTTTGCTGTCCACCTGTATTTCATCTCAACAAACACAAACATTACAGAAAGAGCAAGAATGGAAGTTAAAGCCATGCAGCCGGGAAATGCAACATCAATATAAACCACAGTCAGATGTGTGACGCAGATTGCTTTTGAAAGGTTCACAACTTTGTGCAGAGTGAGAAGTTACTAACCCCCAACTTCATGAATCCATCAGATAATCTCAAGAAAAAGTACTTAGATTGTTTAAGGAATAAGGCTCTGCCCCTTAGATCAAATGAAAGGAACTGATTAAACCTTAAACAAACAAAAGCTTTTTAAAAAAAATCATTCATCCACTTTTGTGGCAAACGCTTTAGGTGGCTTATTCCTGTTCCATTATGGCTCCACATCTGTGCACAAATAAAGTCAGGGTGGTCTGGAATGCAGAAGTTCATCCACCGGTTTGAACCGCAGCTCTGTCTTTTTCATTAGTCATGGAATGCTGATGGTCAAAGAGCCCATCTTTATACAATATAGCTTTTCACTGTTGGGATCTGGAGGTCTGTCCACTTTCTCCACCAGAGAGCGTACGAGATCTCCTGGAGCCGGAGCTGATTGCACCACCTGTCTCTCATCTGCTCATCAGGAGATCCATATTTAAGGAGGCGGAGGGCTTCTCTCCAGTGCCAGAGTGTTTGCCAGTAACGGTTAGCAAGCCTGAGCCAACCAGCCTGTCTGAAACTCTGACTCCTTGAGAACCTGATCTGTTCTCTCTTCTCTGCTTCCTAGACTGAACCTGCCTGAAACCTGAAACCCTGAAGAGTTTCTCTGCCGGTGATCTGCCTGTCCGTTCTCAGAAGAACTCTGGAGAACAGTTCCTGTCAAAGATCTGCCTGCCCACTCTCAGAAGATACTGGAAGGAAACTCAAATCAGTGATCTGCCTGCACTTAATAAGCTCTGCCTCCGCCTTTGCCCTCAGCCTGCCAACAGCCTCTGGACCCTCAAGGTTCCCCCCCTCAGCTGCTCTGCTCTACTCCAGAACAGGTACAGCCCTGCACACTCTCAATCCTGCAAAATACCTGGACCTCCACTAACTCCTCTTTCCTCCTCTGCAGTGAACCCACTCGTGACCAGTCCAGTCCCTTCCTGGATCTGATAAATCTGTGTACCTTTTCAGAACCCACTCGTGACCAGACGAGTTCCCCACTGGACCTAATCATAAAACTTGTACATTCATCTTTAATAAACCTTTGAACTTTTCTCCTGCCTCTGAGTGTTCTGCATGTGGGTTAGAAACGTTAAACCAAACATGACAGTCACCATCAGTGTTTAAGATGTGGTTGACTACAATGTAAAGCGCTTTAGAGTCCCCTGACTTAAAAAGGTGCAATATGCTGTAAGCACTGGTGTCATGGTTCTGCCCTTTGTGAACTTCTGTTTATTTTTTGTTTGTTTTTAGTTTCACTGTGATTTTGTGTCATTGTAGTTGTTTTCTATCAGTGTCATTTTGTTTGTGTTGCCCTCTGTTGCTCCCTTGTGCCAGTCTCCTTTCCCCTGGCTTCTGGTTGCTTCCATCAACACCTGCTGCTTGTCAGCCGATTAGCCAAGTCTTTGTTCAGTCTTCCATTTGTACTCATCTTGTGCAGTTCCTCAGTAGTGGTACTTGTGTGTTTTCCCCTGGCGTCTTCAGGTATTCGGTTTCCTTAAATTTTTCTTGGATTTTGCTGCTGTTGTCTTTTGCTTTTTTATTAAATCTGCAAAAACTCAGCCTGCCACCTTACACCCTCTAGTCTGGGTTTCGTTCCACAAAAACATCCACCAACCTTGACAACTGGCCATTTAATTCACAAAGACACCTAAGAGAAAGTTTATTGTGGAAGAAATATGGTTGACTGCAAAGTTTCCTTTATTAAACCGTATAGGATTCCTTTGGAATGAATCACAGTAGACAAAAATCATTGTTGGACCTCACAAATTCTCTCCCGGAATATGTGGTTACAAATCGTCATAAACACACTTTAAGGAAAACCTTCTTTGATCAACCGAAACTGTTCTAGCTGCAAAGAGTAGAGTAAAATATCACCAGGTCAAAGATTAGATGTCGTAGAGGCAGAAAAGCATATACGGTACTTTGGGTAAGATAATGTAAAGCTATGATCATCTGATTTTCTAATGAAAATATTCCTCATAATATATGACATAAAACACTTCTACAACATCAATCATAATTTCCCTCTTTTTAAGATTATTTTCTTAAAACACTTAAACTGAAATGCTTTCTGTGTGTTTATGTGCTTCTATCCTTTATTTGTTATATGTCTTTAATATTTTTACTTCAGTCAAATTTCATCCAAGGTTTCTGCTTCACATCCATTCATGGTACTCCTAGTATCTGCTGGTGGTCTCCCATCTCAGGGGATGGGGGGATCGTTTAGTCATCCTCCCCCAATCTGCCCTATTTTGGCTGTACCTGGGGGAAATAGACACTTCTCTATGAGAACAGTCACTGAATCTCTGAGAATGCCTTTTTGAAGAACAACTTTCCAGTTTATGATTTGATCCAATTAGAGCAGAGGGACACAAACATGATGGAGACTTGAGCTATTTGTAACTGCAGCCCTCAAGGAGAGACGAGCAATTGTTCCATCAATGTTGGCAGCTGGTATTGCAAGAGTACAAAAGGTAATGCAGGCATTTACTGAACGCAATAACAGCACAAAGTGTGGTAAAAACCTAGCAATAAATGTTTATGTATTGATGTAGGGTTTGAAAAAGAAAGAAAGACAGCTAGAAAATGGTATTTTAATATTCTAATTGCTTTAAGATGATTTCCATCAATTTTTGCACTTTTATTTCATTTTTACAATAAATTACTATCGTTAAACAGCTTTATACATTATTTGACCATTATTTTTCAAATAGCTTTATACATGCTTTTGGGGGCTGACATTCTCTGGTCACATGAAGCTGAAAATTAATAAACAAAAGGCACATGATTGCTTTCGTCCACAGTGAGCCATACAGTCCACAGAAACAAAGACGTGTTGTGGTTTGTGTGAGAATAAGTGAAGTTCATTTTAATTGGACGATTGCCAGCCGGTGTGAAGCCTATTACATGTCCTGCCAGGGCAGCACATTATGTCCACAGCTACTTGCTCAAATTACTCCCAAAAGATCCGGTTTCATCTGGTCATTGATGACAATTATCTCTCCTAATTTACCCCAGTACACCTTGTGAAAGTCAATAGACCCAGAAATCCCCACATGTCTTCTTTTCCATTAAGAAGGAAGAGTTTTACAGTAGAGTCACTTCTGTAGAATATTGAGCCGGATTGCACAAAAGGAATGTGCTCTATACATATGGCTGAATGCTAGAAACCATGGCCATTTCAAACTGTGCAGCTTGCCTGAAGGTGTGGTGAGAGGACAGAGCTCAGTGGGGGGGATAAATTGATCATGTTCCTTTTTAAGACTCATCGTTGCCCAGGTGAAGGTCAACGTGCTTTGTAGTTTATAGGGGGAAATCCTACACCTTACAGGGGTGCTTCAGTTCCTCCTCCTCTCTTAACAGTTCGCTGCAACTGGAAATTCTGGCCAAAATGTCTCAGAAATGACTGTGTTTCCTTAGTGCCTGGGATGCCGGATCCAGTTTCGAATCATCCACTTCTGACCAGAACATCTCTGCACCACCAGACGTAGCCCAAAGTTGGCATCTTTAGACATCTCAACTTCCAAGCACCGACCAGTGTCTCTGTTGATAATTGGGCCATTCTGCAACAAAATGATATAAAAAATAACACAATATTTTAAACAGCAATGTTTCCTGAAACCTCTACCTGTAAGACTTTTTTTTTTTTTTTACCTGTGTAAAGTCCCAAAGCCTTTGGGAAATCCTTGAAACAGCATCACATTTTTTCAGACTTGGAGTACGTCCTCTTCCATCATCTATGAGACATTTTGTATCGGGAAGGAATGTGGTTGACCCCAAGGGTCCAAGCTGGAGAAGACCCTCAGTAGAATAGCGGGCAAGCTGGAAACACACAGAGTACCAATCTGTTATCTACTAAATCAAAATACTGTTATTCTTTAAACTGGTAAAATGAATTTAAAAAATGTATTCCTAAAAGTGCATTTACACCAAATGTGATTCCACAAAGTTATCACATTAGGGTACTGTTGCTCGCCTGACATATCTGGCAGTACCCAATCTGTCCCTGTAGCACAATCCATACCATCAGCTCATTTGCGCATGCGTAACCATATAAACATCTGCGTCTCCATCAATTTTAATGAGTTAAAAATACCTTAATTATGTTAATCTAGTCTTTTTGAGTTCATTTTTTTTCTTTTCGGGTTAACGATATGATATATACTGCGTGATCTTAAGAAAGAAATAACCAAGAAAACAGTTAAACATGGTTTAATCATATTTTGCTGGACTACTCTGAACATGTCTGATGAGGATGTCAGACAAACAGTTTAACAGGAAAAAATGTAAAAAGCATCAAATTGTTTTAGAAAAGTAAAAAAAATGTTTTAAAGATTTGTATTAGTATTCTACAGTGAGTTAAGCATAGAAATAAGTACATTTGGTACCATGATTACATTATTTATGGCAACCAAGATGAATGTCCACTTGCACATGCAGAAGTGGGTATGGATCGTGCTCCCGGTATGATCAGGTAGTGACAATATAATTAGCAATTCGGATGGCAAGGGACAGGCTTTGTATAGCACCAAATAAGCTACACCCCTGTTGCTTCACTGCATCATCAAATAAAAGAAGGTAAAATCAGTTGGTTTCATCTAAGCCTAGCAAATTTGGGTTTTACCAAGTGAGTTACAGCACTCAATTTAATATGGTAATCTAAACAATTGGGGTCAGCAAGATCCTCCCAATATGTCCCCAGCTCTGGGGGACCAAGAACCAAGCTGCAGCTGGATCACAGTCCCTTTCTGCGGTGCTTCCGTCTGACCAGCACCTGGAACTATCCCACTTCAAGAGGGAATGGCTTGGTCAACAGATGTACAGTACTGTAAGGTGAGACAGCCTCCTAGAGCTCAGACAGAAGTAGCAGGAGATCATATCAAGAAGCCTGGGAGAGATGAACCAGAGCTGGGCAAAGGTAGTCACCTTTCCCTGCTCCTTCTAGGGATGAATTAAAACAGTGTTTTCAAAAGCCACCTACAAATCATTTATGAATATCTATTATTTAATTCTGTCAGCCATTTTTCTCTATGGACATCACTCTTCGCTGTGACCTCCAAACAAACCTATTCTGTCACTGAAATAATGTTGTTAGCCTCCCTTTGCCTAATGCACCTTAACATTTTATTGCAAGAAAGGCTTTAAAAAAAACTAAAAAGAACTTTTTTTTAACATAAAATCATACATATTTTAAGATGTCAACATATATCCTCCCATTTTACTATTTTTTTGTACATCTCAATTTTATTTTTGACTAATCATTTAGTCTGAATCTGCTCTATTTTGCTTGGAGAAACATTTTGAGAACCTAAATAAAATGAGAACTCGTATCCATGTTCTGTGGTAGTTTACTGATCTGAAGGGTTAATGCAACATTTCCACAAACCAAAACTTAATCCCACATTGTTTAATACTGAAAACAGGGGATTGTGCTGATGCACCTGTTACATAATTTAGAGAATAGACGATATTAAATATTTATTGGAGTAATCCTTGCTGAAAAATGAGATGAAAACGATTAGAGGGTGTTAAGTTTAACAAAAGCCCCTTCTTAAAACCCTGTAATGTTTACATAAAAATCTGCTTGCTTGAAATAAGTCTAAGAGGCACCCGCAATTATTCAGATATTATAGTATGCAAACATAATCTTGCCAACATACGAATGGCAGCATTAGATGCTTACCAGTAATTTTCAAGTGCTGCACCTCGGATTACATTAATGCTGTTGTGTAATGTATCGCAGAGTCAAACATTTAACCACATGGGGTAGAAGAATCAAGAATCTCATCATGAAACCATAATGAAATTTTGCAGAGACTCATGGCTTAGAAGACACACATATACATAAGATCACTTTTTGAAAATATGCAACACACTAAGATGGGAAATATGTAGAAAAGAACTTACATTCTATTACTTGAAAAAATCCAGTCCAATGTCCACTAAAATGAGCTGATGTTCTGTTTGATTGTTTTCCTCAGCAGATGTGTGTGAGAGTGTGACTGTGTGTGAACCAGTAAACTGGTCTCCATGAGGAAAGGTTAATTTTTGAGGCCAGTTTTAGATTTAAGGTGTGAATTAAGTTTATGTTAGGGTATATATTAGTGATTGACAAGGGTCGGATTACACCATACAAATGAATATGACCCATTAAAAGTCCCCATAAAAAATGGAAACACAAAATGAGTGGGTGCCTGTTAATTTAAATGTATTGCTTTAATTGAATCGAGTTGCTCCAACTTAATTGTTCAAGTTCATCCATCCATCCATTCTCTGTCACGCTTATCCCAAGCGGGGTCGTGAAGGGTGCTGGTGCCTATCTCCAGCTGTCAATGAGCGAGAGACGGGGTGCACCCTGGACAGGTCGCCAGTCCATCATAGGGCAACACAGAGACAAACAGGACAAACAACCATTCACGCACACTCACACCTAAGGAGAATTTAGGGAAGCTAATTAACCTAACAGTCATGTTTTTGGACTGTGGGAGAGGCTGGAGTACCCAGAGAGAACCCACGCATGCTCAAGGAGAACATCAAACTCCATGCAGAAGGAGCCGGGCTTGGAATCGAAGCCAGATATTCTTGCTGCAAGTGGTGCTACCTGTGGTGCCTGGTTCTGGTCTGCCTCCTCACACACCTGCTGATTGTTTCCTCGTTAAATGGAGTGTTCTTAAGCTGCTGATTGCCACTACCTCGACGCCAGAGTGTTTGCCAGTTTTGGGTACTCTAGCCAAGCTGAGTTTTGCTGAGTCAAACTGAGTTTTTGTCAACCTGAGTTTAACTTTGTTTTTGTCTTTGCCTCTCGGCAGGAAGTCATCCTGCAAACTGGTTTTGACAGCCTTATTTTTTCCAAGAACCTATCTGAGCACCAGATCCATGTCCACCAGGTCCTTCAACGTCTACTCAAGAACAAACTATTCGTTAAAGCTGAGAAATGTGAATTCCACAGACCATCTGTTTCCTTCCTTGGATTTATCCTTGAGGGCGGACAGGTAAGACCCACTGAGGAAAAAAGTAAGGCTGCTTTGGACTGGCCTACTCCTGAGACTCGCAAACAGCTCCAACGTTTCCTAGGTTTTGCCAATTTCTACCGCAGGTTTATCCACAATTACAGCCAAACTGCTCTTCCTCTTACATCCCTGACCTCTTCCAAGGTACCCTTTGTTTGGTTCTCTAAGGCGGAAGCAGCCTTTTCTCACCTCAAAAGACTTTTCGCCAATGGTCCTGTTCTCACTCAGCCTGACCTCTCCAGACAGTTTGTGGTGGAGGTAGACGCCTCGGATTCTGGAGTTGGAGCTGTTCTCTCCCAAGTTTCCGGTGCCGACAACAAATTGCATCCCTGTGCCTTTTTCTCTCTCCAGACTCACTCCAACTGACAGAAATTACGACGTTGGAGCTCGTGAACTTTTAGCCATAAAGTTGGCTCTGGAGGAATGGAGACACATGCTAGAGTGAGCTGCACATCCGGTTCAGGTTTGGACAGATCACAAAAATCTCTCCTATATCCAATCCGCCAAGAGACTCAAACCCCGCCAATCCCGATGGTCATTGTTTTTCTCTCGTTTCAACCTTTCAATCTCTTTTCGCCCTGGCTCTCGGAACATCAAACCGGATGCCCTTTCTAGGCAGTTTTCCCTGGATGAATCTGAGGAGTCGGCTGCTCCTATCCTGCCTCCCAGCTGCTCGGTTGCTGCAGTAACCTGGGAGATTAAGGATCTCGTCAAACAGGCCCAACAGACTGAACCTGATCCTGGAACCGGCCACCTAACAGAATCTTTGTACCTTCCTCCATTCAAGCTCGTGTAATAAGTTGGATTCACTCTTCTAAGTTTTCTGCCCATCCAGGGATCAGAAAAATGTCTTTGTGTTTGTGTTTCTGTGTTTGTCCCTCTTCACCCACCAGGAGGCGCCTGGTTCTGGTCCGCCTCCTCACACACCTGCTGATGGTTTCCTCGTTAAACGGAGTTGTCTTAAGCTGCTGACTGCCACTACCTCGACGCAAGAGTGATTGCCAGTTTAGGGTACTCTAGCCAAGCTGAGTTTTGCTGAGTCAAACTGAGTTTTTGTCAACCTGAGTTTAACTTTGTTTTTGTCTTTGCCTCTCGGCAGGAAGTCCTCCTGCAAACTGGTTTTCACGGACCCTCTCTCCCTGGAAGGATCAACTGAGCTTCAAACTGAGCTGGGGTTCAAACATGAGGTTTGGATCCACTTTCCCCAAAAGATCGTTTGAGCTTCGCACTGAGAAAGGGATTATTCTCCACTAGGACCTGTTCAAGTACCGCAGAATATCTAAGCAGTCAGTTTCTCCGTTCCCCAACTAACAACTGCATTCTGGGTAAACCCTGTTCCGCCCTCCACCGAATCAGACAAACATTGGAACTACAGCACATACACAGGAGTCAAGGATTCAACAACTTCTCTGGAAACGTGAGTTGGCAACCAAATCCTCTTCTCCAAGTTCACGAGTCAAATTCCCCACTGACCCTGAACAAACCACTGTGTCTTCCCCTCATTTTTCAGTTCGGGTTGAGCAGTGTTCAGAGCAATACTTCTCCCTCTGTTTAATTAAACCCGTTAAACCTTTTCCCTGGTCTCTCTGTTTTGGTTTTCTGCATTTGGGTCTGAACTTTGTAAAATCATAACAGAATAGTTATGAATAATTGTTTTATAAATTCTAACTGTCCAGAATATATAAATATTTACTTGTTGTTACGAGGTCCATGTTGTCATGGAGTGATTCAGCACTATTCAACATAAGAAGTTCAGGTCAGAAATTCAATGAAAGATTGCAATATCTCTGTAATTGTTAAAAAAATAGCTTT